TCTCTCTCTCTCTCTCTCTCTCTCAGCCACAGATTCTTTACTGCCAAAAGAGAGAATTTCCAGGGAAAAGAGGCCAGCCCCGGAGTGCTAGAGAGTTGGGCAGGGGAGATTACATATTACTGCAAGTAGAGTCCATGGGCCAATCTGTGGTTGTTGCACGGTCTGGGCATGGCTGGGACGTGGCATGTTTCCTTGAGGCTAGAGGGGAATACTTAACACTCTCACATGCCTTAAAGGCCAGGCTGTTCTCGGGGTACTTTTAGGGTGGAGGGGTAGTCAGGGATCTATCAGCAGGGGCAAGAGAACACCAGAGACCACTGTCCCTGGTTGTGGGCAAGTGGATGGCGGCCATGGCCAGCATTTCTACCCACTGGCATCTGGCCAGAACAACAGTGTGCCCAGCAAGGTTACCAAGAGAGCCTGGCTGAAGGATGAAGGGTGTAGGTGAGCCTCAGGTTGAGACAAACAACAAAGACTATGAATCACCCCAAAGCCAACAGCTGTAGGAAGCACCGAACCCCTGGATCTAAAGGCAACTGTGGTCAGAGCTGGCTGGGGAAGACTGACCCACGAGATCTGTGGCCTCTGCTAAAGAGAGACAGCCACTACCACTACAACCCAGCAGGGAGGCTGCCCGGGGAGAGACGGCCTGATCTCCATCCCTCCCTGCTTTGTAGGCTGGGTGCCCCCCAGACCGCAGAGCAGTGTGCGAGGTGGGTCTGGGGACAGCAGCACATCTCAAGTGGTGGCCTGGAAGCTGTGTTTCCCGACTCTTGTAGCTAAAGTTCCAAGTTGGGGGATAAACAAGGTCCTGAGGCTAGATCCCTTAGTCCAGGGCCTGGCACACTCCAACGCTCTAGGACACGCTCTTATGGCTGTCCAAACTCCTCAGCGGTTCCTGGGTCCCTATTCAAGGAAGGCTACCCCAGAAGAGCCCCTATTCAGGGACACCTTCTAGCAGCCAGTCATTGTGGCCTTCAATCCAGGCCTGTTTTCTCAGGGAGCATGGGTCCCCGGGAAGGCAACACAGCCTTGGTGCCGAGCACTGGGGTCCCACAGATGCACCTTTGTCTTGGCCAAAATGACTTGGGGAGTAGAGAACCTCAAGAAAGTGATGTTTCAGAACTGGCCTCACTCCCCTGAGAAGGGCAGGCACAGTGTGGGTGTCTTAGGATTTCCAGCCCTTGTTTTGTGGGTGGCTGAGAAAGGGCTTCTAGCAGAGGCCGTGGCCACACCCTGGAAAGGCTGTGCCCTCCAGCACCACAAAGAAGGACACAGGCAGTGGGAGGTGTGTGAGATCAGATTGGAATGGGCCGGTCCCTGGGCTTTCACTGGCTCCAGGGAACCTGTCACTGTTGACTGTGGGTAACAGACCCTCCTCCACCAGCTGAAGCCATATAAAAAAACAGCCTTTGGAGGCACACTCCCAGCTGCCCATTGCGACCATGAAGGCAATCCTCTTCGTCCTGTTGGCCACCTGCTTGGCCCTGCAGCCAGGTAAGCTTCAGACGGCCATGGGGCAGGGCTAGGGAAGAGTGAAGCGGAAATGTTAAAGGGGCTGATGGACTAAGAGGAGGGAATAGGAGAGAGAAGAGCAAGGAGCCTGGGCAGCTTTGCAGGGAGGGCTCTCACTATCGTCCCGTGAGAGGCAGGCTGGGAGGAACGGAGCAGGAAAGGGTACTCAGGATGTCTTGAGAGGGGGGGACTCAAGGGGCTACCCCCGGCTCCTTTTTCCTCCAGTGTGAGAGTCCACTGGGTGGTCAGTCTGGGATGATCTAGTGTGCTGGGCCCTCCCGTCAAGTGACTCCCAAAAGGTCACTATACTTTCAAAGCCTCAGCTTCCTCATTTACACAGGGGTGGGGAGGGGGGGGGGACTGCCTGTAAGGCACCGGAGACCTACACAGCACGAAGGTTGTAGCCACTGAAGTTGGGGGTTCAGCATCTGTTCCGACAGGTGTGACTTGAACCCCAGCTTTATCATTTTTTTTTTTTGAAGAGAGAAGACAACCAACACATCCTGGCATCTGGGGCCACTTGCCCCAGACACAGAGCAGGATGGGCCCAGGGGCCCTACCATTGCCACACAGCATCGTGGGGGTCTAGGAGGGGCTGAGAGCAAGCTGGGTTTAGGGGACAAAGACAGACGACCTCAGTGCCCAGCAAGCAGCACGCACAAGTTAAGGAAGTGTCTCTCTGCACCTCCCTCCAGCCTAGTGCCCAGCGGGGCTTTTTCCAGGCGTGACCTGTCCCTGGGGCCTCTTACCCCTCTCTCAGGGATCACAGGCGTTTAATAAAAGCTTTAAATTCCTGACATAGTAACAGCACAGGCTGTGGGCTTTGGGTGACCACGGTGAGGTAGGCTGGCGCAGAGCCCTCCCAGAAGGGTGTCAGAGGCTTTTGGACTTCCGCTTCAGCAGCCTGGAGGGGACCGAGATGGGTCTCTCCACTCTGTGTGGGGATGAGAGTGTCTGGGAAGGCTCTCTTGGAGTGCAGCTGGCCAGCCTCCGAGCCTCAAGCCTCCGGCTTCATCCACAGGTGCCGGCCTGCAGTGCTATTCATGCACAGCGCAAGTGAGCAACAGAGACTGCCTGAACGTGCAGAACTGCAGCCAGGGCCAGAACAGTTGTTGGACATCACGCGTCCGTGAGTCCGTCCGTCCCCGACTGCCCCACACAGCTCTCGCCACCTGTTGCTCTGCTGCCCAGCCACTCTGCTATCCTGCCTTTTCAGCATCCCTCCCTTCTCGAGCTAAGCAGCAAAGAATCTCGACTTTGGGCTTTGCCACAGTTCTCCCTCTGTCCATCTGCCCACCTATCCATATATCTGCACATTCCTGCGCGGCCATCCCAACCCTCAACTCCACCTTCCTACCCTCCTCCTCCTCCAGAGCGTTAGCATGCTCAGGAAGGGGCCCCGAGGCAGGGGCAGGGGAGGGGAATAGCAAGACCTGGCTTCTACCCAAGTGTCACCCTGTCTTCCCAGGGGCCATTGGACTCGTGACAGTTATCAGTAAGGGCTGCAGCTCAAACTGTGAGGACGACTCGGAGAACTACTACGTGGGCAAGAAGAACGTCACGTGCTGCTCCACCGACCTGTGCAACGTCAGTGGGGCCCACACCCTGAAGCCAGCCAGCACCCTGGGGCTGCTCACTGTGCTCTGCAGCCTGTTGCTGTGGGGTTCCAGCCATCTATAGGCTCTAGGAGAGTCCTGCTACAGCCTCTACTGTGCAGGGATGCCTCCCCCTAACACCCCCACTCCTAGCATCCACACAAGGGCCGGCCTTCATCCTGCCTCTCCTGGTGCGCCCTCCTTCTCTCTGCTGCTTCAATTTCTACAGCTGGCACTTTGCCCCTCCCCCTCCCC